CCGAACAAGCAGCCTTCCAAAGAAGAGAGGGAAGGATCAGCCACAGTTGCAGCAGTGTTTCGGGCAGCTGACGTGGAAGTGACGGCAGCAATCCCGCGATGGCCAAGGCGCTGGCCCTGGGGCTACCCCCAAGACGACCTCCCAGTCATGCACGCCATGGCAGCAGCCTGCTGGCCTGGAAGGACTCCAGCAGTTCTGTGGAGGCTCAACTTTGGGCTCCCAAACCAGAGCTCCACAGCCAGCATCCCGATCAGACCCTCATCGGTGAGTTGAGTGGTCCTAACTCGCCCATTGTTCCTGCCAGCTGCCAGCATGACCTGCCTGGTGTGAAAAAGTGAAATCCAGTAATAAATAAAAACAAATAAGTGCATGGTGAAAGAGAGCTCTGTGTTTCCTGTGTGAGTGCTGGAGCCAGGATCTGGAGGGTGGGTGTCACTTGGCCTTTCTAGGTCTGGTTCCCCCTCCAGATCTGTAGTCCCTGGCTCAGAATCTGTCACTGATAGAAAGAAGGGGGACCACGACCCAGCAGATGCCCACCTGGGTCTCTTGCTGCTCGCAGGACACTGTTTGAACTTCTGATCCTATTGACCTCCCTCCACCTGCAAAAGCATTTCAAATTCCAAGCCAAGCACCCTTTCATCCAGCAGCTGCCTCTGGCATCTACACAATTATTGAATAGCCCTGTATTGGGGGCCTAAAGTCTTACTACTACAAGGTGGCCAGGAATCCATCAAATGCAGGAATCTAATTACAGGCTGACTGTCATATTAGAGACTAACCCAGGCCTCTGTGTTGGATCTAGGAGCAAACAGAAGCTCAGAGAGGGCAAATCCTTTTGCCTAGTTTCATGCAGCCACTTCACTTCAGGGTTGAGATTTGAATCTTGGCTTGGGAGTTTCCCAGGGCATGCAGAGACTGAAGCCGAGGGTGCCAGTTTATTCCCCTTGGCCTCCTGTCTGCCCCACCCCCATCCTCATCTGACACTTGACATTCTCCATCACTCCCTCCTCCTGGCAACGCCCTCCTCCTCCAGTTTCCATGGCAACGCATTCTCTCCCCCCCCCCCATCCTCCTCGTTTTTCTTGTGGCTTCTCATTCTCTACCTTGGCTCACGAGTCTAGGAAGCAAGGGGATCCCCAGGCAGGGCCCCCCAGCTCTTCTTTCTTGCTACCCCTGTGAGCTCACCACTTTCCCTGTGGGTCTATAGCCCTGCTTCACATTCCAGCTTAGTAACAGTTTCTTACCGTGTGCTAAGAGGATCTTTACGTGATGGGCCCTACCGCAATATGCACATTATCTCACTTAATTTGCACAACTGCTACTGAAGGAAGTTCACACTACCAATGAGGATACTCAGGCTCAGGGATGGAAAGCCAAGATCTGGTGCCAGGCTTACCTGTTACTGGAAGAACAGATAGGAAAATGTAGGGCATTTTTAAACCAGGGGCAAAAACTTCCCTCCCACTCCTAGAGAGAGGGGAATGGAAATTTTGGAGGAAAGAGCCCTACTCTGCAGTTTTCAGAACCTGGTGATGATCTAGAATTACACTGTCAATTTGGAGCTTTAAAAATGCATCATGCACGGTACATTTTGAATTGAGAAAATCTGGAGAGCTTGAGAGGAGCAAAAGTTCATGAAAAATTGCCCTTTTCCTTCACATTGCTCCACTGTGTCTTCCAAAACCTCATCCCAGGGTTCCAGCTACTAATGCCTTCCTACCTCAACAGTGCCTGGCATTTACCATCTACTTGGACCACGGAATTTCCCCTGGAATTCCACCAACCTAGGTTCTGCCACTACTACTGTGTCTGTGGCCCAGAGGCAAGTGGCTCAACCGCTGGGACTCTCAGCTCTCATCTGAAAGGGGGATATCACTATTTCCCCATGTGGCTGCCTGAGGCACCACTGGGATAATGCACAGAACACGCCCAGCATCCAGCCAGGCACACAGAGGTGCTCAGTTAAATCCCGTGTGTCCTATGCACATAACTTCTTGGCTTTGCCAAGCACTTGACAACCTTATGCTTTTGCATATACTTCCCTCCCATCGGTGGCCAACTCCTACTCATCCTTTAAGGACCTCTGATCCTTTTCTGCTCTCATGGAATTTCTAGACACATGTGTTTTTAGTAAAAAGATACAAAAGGCACTTCCTGTGACACTCCTAGGGCTCTGTCCCTGCAATCGTCACTATGGGATGCAGTCATCTGAAGTGTCTATCTTTGTGTGTGTGTGTGTGTGTGTGTGTTGTGTGTGTTATGGGATAGTCATCTGAAGTGTCTTTGTGTGTGTGTGTGTGTGTGTGTGTGTGTGTGTGTGTTACCGGGGATAGAACTTAGGACCTTGTGCTTGCCAGGCAGGCACTTATGCTGCTGAGCTATCCATCCCTGGTCCTCCTTTTCACTGTTAGTGATTTCTTGGTGGTACCAGGGATTGAACTCAGGACCTTGTGCTTGCCAGGTAAGCACTTATTCCACTGAGCTATCTCCCTAGCCCAAAATAATTCTTAACTTTTTTTTTTTCAGTATTGGGGATTGAACTTGGGCAGCCATCTGTTTATCCACTGGCTCAAGCCTTCTAATGGCAAAGCCAATGTGTTAGGCTGGTAGGAAAGAGATTTCAATGCAAAACTGCTTTACCTTACATACATTTATTTGGCTGGAATCCAGCCCCTGTTGACTCCAGGACAAATGTATAGCTTCTAGCAGGGGCAAGAAGCAGTCAGATGTTAGAACCACACGAAGCATCCAGATGGCAGTGAGTGGGCTTAAAGACAGGTCTGTGGCATGTGCATGTGCAGCATGTGCATGTGTATGTGCGTGTGGCATATGTATGATGACACAGCACTTGGAAGAATCAACAGCCCCACTTACTTCCAGAGTCTTCTCTGGTTCCTAAATTGGTCTCTTTCTCTGCCATCTTCCCAGAGAATTAGGAGTCCCAAATGTTAAGGCATGTCCAGGATGACCCCCTGCCTTGCTGAGCCCCCTCCAAACAGAAGTCTGTATGGCCCCAGGGCCCTTTCAGGTGGTGATGGCGGAGCTACAAGCAGACTGAGACTCCAGGTCACAGTAGCTCGGGGGCTGGATCTGAATGATGGTCACTGCTCCCACATCCTAGGTCCCAGGGGAGCCACTTCCAGGAAGAAAGTCCCCAGGTCCAGAGTTCCACGGGACCATTCCCTGAGAAGAGGGCTGTGCTTTGCCATTGAAAGGACTCTCACCCCTTAAATGTGCACAAAGCCCATCTTGGTGCCCCCCCACAAAAAAAAAAAAACTAGTTCAGTTCCTGCTGGAGTGACAGCTCCCAGCTTTTGTTCCCAAAAAATGGCTGTCAAGGGGAAAAGAGGTATATTGTTTCTTTTTTTTTTTTTTTTTTTTAGTTTGAGACAAAGGCGTCAAATCCTTCCCATCTGTCCCAAAAAAGGAAGAAAATTAAATTTGTTTTTACAAGGATGTCAGCACTTGCTTCAATAGGGAGTCAGGGGTGTCTTGCTGAGGCAGGGTGGGGGAGGGTGGGAAGAGGAGGCTTGGGCAGGCACAGGGGACAAGGACAGACCCTGACACCAAGGAAAGCAACAATCTGGGGTACTTCTATGCCTGGCTTTGGGTGGACCCTGGAACTTAGCAGCCTGAAGGAGGAGCTGAGTGGGCTGGAACAGGTTGGGGAGCCAAGAGCCGACAGGAGAAGGAAGCATGAGCCATCTTCCTTCAGTTCCCCCAAGTCAGGCCCCATGTGGGCAGTTGCAGTTCATCTGAGCCACTCACACAGGATGCATGGGGCCCAGGCCGATGCTGGGAGCAAGAGAGAGAAGTCTGAGGTTTATCAAGGATCCAGAAATCAACATGGGAGTCTTGGTGCCCCCTTGCCCCCAGTTCACTCACCATGAATGGGGCTCTCAATAGGTCATCCTCTCTGTACTCAATACTCAGCCACAGACACGAAGGCCCTTGGGGACTCCCCCAAAAGTGTCCCTCCTCAGGCTGGAGGACCTAACCTCAAGCAGAAGCCCTCCCCTCCTGCACCTTAGCCCACAACCACCACTTCTGCCCGCTGGCACAAAGGCCCACACAGCTTGGGTTTTGCAGCCCCCAGACCTTCTTGCTCCTCCTGAGCCTCAAGTACTTGGTTCTGGGGACCCTAATTCAACTGAGGCCTGTTGCCCTTCCCCAGCTGGGAGCCGCTGGCCCTATGCTACTGTCCTGTCCCAAATCCACTGTATATTGCTGTAGACACTGCTTCCATTCATAGGCATCACTGTCTGTTCCAAAGAAATAAGTGACCATTGGAGAGGAAAAATATGTTGTTTCTTTCTTCCTCACTTTCCATTTTGTCCCCACCCCCTAATTCTTTTGCATTCTTTATTTATAAAGATATCAAGTTGGACCTAGACTGCAGAGTCCCCACCTGCTGCTAGAACTCGGGGGCTGGGACCTGACCCCAAACATGAGGCCCCACCTCCTTCACACAGCAGTCTATATGATGACAAACCTGTGCTGTCGCCAGCCAGCCTGTCCTGTCACTCTGTCTGCCCCCGGAAGGGGCTCCTATCCACTGAGCTGTCTCACAGCTCGGTCTCCAAGCCACCGCCTACTCCTGCCCCTCCCGGGTCTTAGGTGCAGAATCGTCAGATTCCATGATGCCCAAAAGCCCCACTGGGTTCAGCAATCAAGGCTGCCCCAAGGTCGAGCCCCTGCCCACTGCACAGGTCTTATTAAGGGGCCTGGTTCTGCCGCTGCAGGTCCCACGCTCCTGTAGTCGCTAGCTGCCCCCACCAAGGGGCAGGTACTCGCCTCCAACTGGATCCAAAGGCCACCCCACTATACAGGCCCCGTCTGCGGCAGCCACATGGCCCCAAGTCCCCAGCTCTTCTCCGACACAGGGGCCCCATCCAGTGGCCCAAGCCTCCCCACCCACTACTGCCCAGTCCCAGATGGTGATTCTACCTCCTGGGGGGCCCCCCCCGTGGTCTCCCCGGAGGGTCCCAGGGGAGGGACACGGTCAGGCCGCAGCGCCACCACCCGGACCATCGGAGGGGGTGCAGGCAGTGACCCGCTCGCGGGCTGTGGCCTCGCGCGCCCGGTTAAAACTGCCTGGCTCCTGGCGGCCACAGGGCGAGCGGCAGAGCTGGCGGAAGCAGCGCTTGAAGTTCTCGTCCAGGAAGGCGTAGAGTACGGGGTTGAGGCTGCTGTTGGCGTAGCCCAGGGCGATGCACAGGTGCAGTGCGGCCACCACGAGAGGATCGTGCCGGTCGATGTCCACCAGGGTCCACACGATGACGAAGATGTGGATGGGGGCCCAGCACACCACGAAGGCGCCCACCACCACCAGCACCATGCGCGTGATGCGCCGCAGGCTGCGGTCCTTCTCCTTAGAGCCCGACAGCAGGCGCACGCTGCGCAGGCGCAGCAGCATGAGGCCGTAGCACACAGTGATGATGAGAATGGGCACCACGAAGGCAAAGAGAAACACGCAGATCTTGGTCACTGTGTCCCAGTACCAGCTGGGGTTGGGGAACTGGAGCATACACACCACTGCCCCATCTGGGTTGGGGAGACAAGGAAAGATGGAGTGAGAGGCCTGTG